GGTTATTTAGGGTTGCTCAGGCTGAGGAGAGGAGATCCCGAGTACCCTGGATGAGGAGAATACACGATCTCTGAAGTAGGGTTAATATGGGGTCTCTGTGGGGAGAGTTTCAGTGTTTCTCAAATTAAGGAAATGAAGGTCTTTCATGCTCTAGATATTTGACGGTTTCAGGACAAGGGGCATCATTCGTCTGTCAGTTTGTTGGAAGCTAAACCACTGGTATTCCAAATCCCAACGGGGTTATCCATGGGAAACAAGATTCAAGATGAGAACAGATTGGAAAACAGGACCTGCCATTAATTGATATAGTGGCAGAAGATGAGGCCTTAGGTGGGGAGGCACTAAAATAAGACTGTGGAAGAGCTTGAATATTGAGGAACATCTCTAGAATCTCGATTGCCCTGACGTTGTAGTGACCTGTGGGGCAGGCTGAAAGATGGCGGCGGCGGAGGGCGTTGGTCCCTGCAGCTTCTAGTTCTCATTTGTCGCCATATTTTCTGCTTTGAAGAATCTTCAAGAGAAGATTAGACATTTGGAACTTGAAAGAATTCAGGCAGAAGAAAGTGTGAAAACTTTGTCTAGAGAAACAAGTGAATACAAGAAAGTACTGGATGAACAGATACAGGAAAGGGAAAAGTCAAAGACTGAGGAATCAAAGCACAATCAAGAAGTGGCTTCTCAGTCGTTAGTTGTAGAAAGTAAACGTAATCTTTTAGAAAAACAACTGGAATACATGAGAAATATGATAAAGCATGCACAAATGGAGAGGACATCTGTCTTAGAGAAACAGGTTTCCTTAGAAAGAGAGCGACAGCAAGATCAAACTCATGTTCGTACCAAATTTGAGAAATTGGATGTTCTTGAACAGGAGTATAACAAACTCACCACTACGCTAGCCACTGCGGAAAAAAAAATGCAAGAGTTAGAAGAAAGCTCCATGAAGAAGAACAAGAAAGGAAACGTATATAAGTTAAGGCAGCCCAGTTGCAGACTGGTCTAGAAACCAATCGGCTTATCTTTGAGGATAAAACATCTCCATATGTTGCCAGTACAAGAAGAATTAAAAAAAAAGAAGTCAAAACCACCAGAAAAGAGAGGTTCTAGAAACGATTTTGCTGCACAACCACATTATAGATTATGCTTGGGTGATATGCCATTTGTAGCTGGAAAGTCCACCAGCCCTAGCCATGCGGTGGTAGCCAGTGTTCAGCATGTCTTGCATCTAATGAAGCAATACAGTAAAGCCTTGTGCAATGATCGAGTAGTCATCAATGTTCCTTTGGCAAAGCAAGTGTCTTCACGATGTATAAAAGTAAGAAGTTAACGCCAGTGTCCTCCAGCACCATTAATGAAGAATTGTCAGAAGTCTTACAGACTTTGCAGGATGAATTTGGGCAAATGAG